CAAAAAAAAAAAACAGCAACAACCAAACTTCTAAACTAGATCTACTCATTGCAATCGTTCACGTAAGCGCACTTTTCTTCAAGTGTCATTTTAATTTTCAGACAATAAGACACATTTAACATTGTGGTTTTATTAGAGAAGGGAACATATCTATCTGGTTTCACCATAAATGCCACACACCGTTCGATAAAAAGTAAGGTGAAAATGAGGGGAAAGCCCTGCAGGGTGTCCTTGCGTAGCAGTTGTGGCTTCAATAAAACAGCAGGACAACTGAAAGTGTGTGCGTGCGTGTATGTGCGTGTGTGTGCGTGTGTGTGCGTGTGTGTGTATTTTGTGTATGTATGTGTGTATGTGTGTGTATAAGCGTGCGTGCGAGCGTGCGTGCGAGCGTGCGCCCGTGTATGTATGTATGTGTTTGTGTGTGTGTGTGTGTGTGTGTGTGTGTGTGTGTGTGTGTGTGTTTGTGTGTGTGTGGGTGGGTGTGCCTGTGTGAGTGTGTGCGTGTGTTTGTGTATGTGTGTGTGTATGTATGTGTGTGTGTATGAGCGTATGTTCATATGTGTGAATGTGTGCGTCAGCATGCGTGTCAGCGTGTTCGTGATCTTCCCATGCCTTCAGAACGAAAAAGGCTGATGGACCATGGAAGGAACACTCGGACAAAACAAGAAGAAAATTGGACGCGATGACATGAGATCTGGCATTCTTAGAACAAAAGAACTTTGCAAAGTTGATGGTATATGTATGAAACAAAGAAAACACATGGTTTGAGTATGAGAAATGAATGCTACAGACAAAATATTTTCTCCAAATTAAGTGAAATCTGAGGTGCTGTCCAAGCACTCCGTGAGTCTGGAAAGTTGGCTAGCTGAAGGATGGCGCGCAAGAAATGGTAACGGTTCAAGTAATCCCGTCTTTAGCAGATCAACTGCAGTGTATTTTGGGGAATGAGGCGTTGGAAAGTCGAATTTTCTGGAGCGAACCGACTCATGGAGTTCCAAGTGGAACGAAGTCACAAGAACAGTGTACTGTGAATTGATATGGGCTCAGCGCCAGTTTTGCCATAGTGAAGAAGACTGGCAATGTTTTGTCTACCCCCGATAGTAAGTGATGGGGTTAAGAACTCCTCAAACATTCAAGAATGCTTCGTTCAGGTTTCTAACAAGGTGGTTCAAGTCCCTCAAGCACCCAACACATCACCACTGCAAATTAAGCATGGCTAACAAACTGACAGGAAAAGTAAAAGATTTTTTTTTTAACAGTGAATGCACGTTTTTTCGTTTAGAGAAGTTGTGTCGTTTACGATGTCTGCAAGATGATGGCATCATTTCATCAGGAACAGGTGAGGATGATATAACAAACCCTGGAAGGTTGTGTTAAAACCAGGCCAATGCAGAACAATAATCAGGACATCCTTATACCACGTGCCCCTCTAGCATTAATACTACCTGTGGTTACCGAATATAAATTATCCACCCAGTTCACATTCCATCACATAATTAATTATGTCGCTCTTGTCATTAATCAGTTGTTTTGTTATTTGTTTGTTGTTGTTTTTTTTGTAACATGTATTAGGAAGGATCAGACAGACCTGATTAGGGTCACACAAGGCAATTTGCTTTCGCTCAAACGAAAGTAGAATGTTTAGCGCACGCACACAC